TATACTAAAAATACCCTTACTTAATTGTCTCTTGTAAGTTTTGTAAGATTTTATAAATTTTTCGTTTTGTTAATAGCAAAATAAAAATTTTCTTCATTTTCAATAATTTTTATTTTGTTGGGTTAACTTCATTCGGCCCGAATCGTCTCTTCCTCGTTCTTACTTGAGCATATTATTATTGGTTAAACAAACCCAATCCAGTTTCCTCTACTTGGGCCGACCTAATATATCTTTCATTTGGGTCCCTATTTAAGGGCACGACGTTTGGCACTAACGCATCGTTTTAGATAGGTGGCGTTACAGGCTTACAGCCATTCACGAACAGAGCAGACTTCAAAAATCGCCGCGTGACCGAGTTTCGCCGTCGCCGTCGCCGTCGCCGTCACCGTCACCGTCACTTCGCTGATGCCGGAATTCGAGTCCAAACGGACCTGCAGATGTCAGTTGTTCTTACTATATATCAATATTTGATACATTGATTTTATATTCATCTAAATTCTTGTCAAAATTGGTCTAATTAAACAAATTTTTAGTTTTTGTTTTTCTTCCTGTAAATTTAAGTTTTACATATACGGTGGTTTTTATTATTTTTGTTGCTGCATTTGGATCTTTTGATGGCTTAAACTACTCATTGCGGAATTGGAATTGAAGTGGGAGGCTAATTTCAGTTTTCATAATCTTGTTCGTTGTCTTAATTGTAGTGTAGGGTTAATTGATACTAGTAGTGTATTGATTTTTCATTTTACACGCAGATCCTGAGTAAATGAGTGCTGTGAAGGAGGTGCTTCGTGTGTCTACAGCACCTCCGACTGTTGTGTGCCCTGAAAATGAGCAGAAAAGGATTTTAGAGTTTTGCATGGGATGTTTGGAACAAGAGAAGGCTGGAAGTTTATACATATGTGGTTGTCCGGGGACTAGAAAGCGACCATCAATGGAAAAAGTGAAGCGGTATGTGGCTGATTTCTACATTTTGTGTCTTTAAATTGTGATACAGCATTGTCTGGTTTCTTGGTTGAGTAATATTTTACAAATAATGATGTTGCTTAATATTTGTATGCTTGTTTTGATTTTTATTACATATACATTGAATACTAACGCCAAATTGCACTTTTCTAACAAACATATCTGAGATTTTCGGCAAGGTATTTGTTGTTAGGGATGATTTATTAAAATAAAAATATTGACATGCTCAACCCACTGACATTTTACAGATGATCTCCAAACTTATAAGAATACAGTCCATCTATCAGTCTCAAACAGCATTTAAAATAATAATAATCAATAATAAATAAAACCCTCAACTCATCTTTCTTATGATTAGCAGGTCACCTTTCAATTGAAGCTTCTCCATAACACGGTTGGCCTGAGCAAGTGAAAGGCCGGGTGGGCATCCTCCCCTGCATAGAAAGCATTAAAACTATTGAAATGAAAAAGGGAAATTTTATGATAATAGTAGTTGAAATGTGTTACAGACCCTTGAGATGGTGGTTGATACAAAATCATATGAAGACAAAATTCAAGAAATATCTCCCT